TGATTTTGATGATGAGAGAGAGAGAGAGAGGAGCATGTCCTTTTTTTTTTTTTAAAGATTTTATTTATTTATTTGAGAGAGAGAGAGAGAATGAGAGATAGAAAGCACGAGAGGGAAGAGGGTCAGAGGGAGAAGCAGACTCCCTGCTGAGCAGGAAGCCCGATGTGGGACTCGATCCCGGGACTCCAGGATCACGACCTGAGCCGAAGGCAGTCGCTTAACCAACTGAGCCACCCAGACGCCCAGGAGCATGTCTGTTCTTAAAAAAATCTACATTAAAATATTTAGGTACAGGGGTGCCTGGGTGGCCCAGTTAAGCATCTGACTCTTATTTCGGGTCAGGTCGTGATCTCAGGGTTATGAAATGGAGCCCCACATTGGGCTCTGCACTGGGCACTGAGCTCACTTAGGATTCTCTGCATCGCACCCCTCCCCCCCGGCTCTTACTACAATAAATACATAAAAATGTTAAAGTGCAGGTTTAAAGAGAAGATGCATGAACAATAAAGGGACACAATGTAAACAATGTTGAGCACAATGGGGTATCTCTGTATTTTTTTTCGACTGAGCCACCCCGCCGTCCCTCTCTGTACTATTCTTATAATTTAAGTAAACCCTATGCCCAACGTGGGGCTTGAACTCACACAATTGAGATCAAGAGTGGCATGCTCTACAGACCAAGCCAGCCAGGTGCCCCTTAAATGATACAAAAGTAAGAAAAATAAAAGGTTAAGAAGCACCTTGTAGACTAAAGGCCTACATAAAACCCAGGTATTGATTCAGTTTACTGAGATGACCTAGCTCTGGCCTTGTTAATATTTGAACCATGATATTTAGTGGATAACTGTGAGGAGTCATAGTTTTATCAATGAAAAGGAACAAAAATTTTCTTAACTCAAGAACAAAGAGGCGCCTGGGTGGCTCGGTCGTTAAGCGTCTGCCTTCGGCTCAGGTCACGATCCCAGGGTCCTGGGATGGAGCCCTGCATTGGGCTCCCTGCTCACTGGAAGCTTGCTTCTCCCTCCCTGACTCCCCCTGCTTGTGTTCCCTCTCGCTGTGTCTGTCAAATAAATAAAAAAACAAAACAAAACCTCAAGAATAAAGCTAAAACCTATATTAACTTTCTTAAAGCTTTACGCCCAACATGTGGCTTAAACTCACAATCTGTAGATCAAGTCACATGCTCTACCAACCGAGCCAGCCAGGTGCCCCTGTATTAATACCTTTAGTGGCAAAGTGGGTAAACATCTGACTCTTGGTTTCAGCTCAGATCCTCATCTCAGGGTCATGGATTGAGCCTACTACCATCAGGCTCTGTGCTCAGTCTGCTTGACTCTCTCCCAATCTAAAATAAATCTTTAATGGCATCAAAGAGATGTATATGAACACACCTAAATTTTGCTATAGGCAAAAGTGGCTTTGGGGCATCAGTACTCTGTAGTTTCATACAGCTGCTAAATTTTATCCCAATATGGAACCTCTCCCCACTTCTTCCAAATAAGACACTATATTGGGAGAACTGAGAATTGGACCTGAACCATAAATTCCTCTGAAACGTCTCCTTTGGTAAATAAGATGCTTCAGGATTTTTCATGATTTTGACAGAATAGGGCATAACCTGCAGATTCCACACTACCCTTTTTTCACTACCAATGGATAATCTAATCCTCCCCCCATTTTTGTCTATATTAAAATGAATTGTAAAAGTCTTTTTACCTGGACTCTCTGAATAAGTTCCCTATTCACAGGTTTTCCACACCCCTTTGCTCTCATGGAATGGCCCTGGTCTCCCTACAGCTTCAGTGTGTTGCCAACCTTTGTTCCTCAGAGTACTCTCTGATCCTTCCAAAGAGCACTTGACTTGTATCCATTCCTTTATGGTCCTGCAGCAGTTCTCTACCTTCTGTACTTAGTCCTGTATTTCAGATTTTTCATTTGCTGCTCCCCAATGATCTGCCCCCACATTTATCTACACTTCTTTTAACAACTCATACATACCCTAGTTGGCCTCCTCACTATGAAGAACATGATCTAACTTACTGGTCACTTAACACTTCATCCATCTCCACCTTACACTTCTTCCCATTCGCAAGTCATTTAAGGAGTCAGGTGCTCTAGCTCAGGTCTTGGGTGGTACTGACATCAATGAACTGCTCCCAGTGCTTAAAACCATCACCATTACAAACATGTCTTCATAATTTTTGATCCAGATAGGTGTACACTGTGCCAATAGTAGCAGTTCCTCAAAAAACCTCTTCCAGGGGCACCTGGGTGGCTCAGTGGTGGTTCGGTTAAGTGTCTGCCTTCGGCTCAGGTCACGATCCTGGGCTCCCTCCTCGGCGGGGAGCCTGCTTCTCCCTCTGCCTGTAGCTCTCCCCTTCCTTGTGCTCCCTCTCTCTCTCAAATAAATAAAATCTTAAAAACAAAACAAAACCTCTTCAAGGGATCTGGTTTGGTAAAGGCAAAAGGTAGAATGAACTAGTTCACCCTGCCAGGCTGAAAAAGAGCAGAGACCCAACAACTGAATGAAGTGTGAATTCCCAGGTGTCCCCAACTTGCTTTTCCTTCTCATTGTGAAGTTCTAGTCACTGTAGGTCCAAAGCCTCAGCAACACACAATGCCATTTGACCACAACTTGAAACAGGCCTCGGTCAGCTAAGTTTAATAGCTCTCCTACTGCTCAACATTTTCATTACTTTTGCCTATGTCCTCAAAACTGGTCTCACAAGTCACTTGAGAAAACAAGTCATTTCGCTTCAACAATGTGCTGTTTGGTAATGCACAGCCTGATTAGATCAACTTACTCTTCATTCATCGCCATCTTCAGCCATTTCAAAAAATACACAAAACAACTCTGTCAAGGTATAGTCTCACGGTCTCACTTTAAAGGGGGACAGCATATCTGAGATAAATTGTTGACGCTTTGCTACACCTCATACAGACCTACTCACATTTTGATCAAATGGTTATCCATTTAAAAACAGAGAAAACCTAAAATACTGCTACATACTCGTTTGCTCAGGAAGAGTCTCTATCAGACTGAGTTTTCAGGAGCTGGGAGTCTAGTGCACCCTTCCTAGAAGTCCCACGGTTCATTCTACTTAAGCTAGAAGAACCCATTCTCTGTATTTCAGCAAATGTTAGGAAACACTAGCTTATTGCCTTGGGTTCTAAAATGTTGCTTGGCATTTTTATTACAATGTAATTAAGTTTATAATCATTACAGTATTCTCTGCTTGAAACATTTTAATAGTGTTGCAAGGACTAGTAGAAATAGGAAAATCTCTTGCTATTTGTTGATGAAAATAATAGTAAACACAACCTCCAAAATGTTATTTGTAGGCCATAGGAGCATGAGCACAACCATATGGGAGGAGATAACCAGTCTCTCCCTTCATATATATTTTTTATTTTCTTGTTATACCTTCCCAAAACAGAGACATTCAACAGTAGTTAGAATGGCCATCTCCCAACATTTAAAAAAAAAACTGCACCCCCCAATGGGTGAACAAAGTAGAGTAGTAACCTAGAGTTCAGCTGGGTAAGCCACTGCGGAGCCTTAAGTGGTGAGGTCTTCCAATTTCAGAGTGATGTGTCTTCAACTTGTATCATCATTTTAGTGGAAAAACATAATTTAATTTTGGTGAAATGAGATTCATCTCCCGAGAGGATTAGTAACAGCATTCACTGAATTTCACATTCTTCTTTTGTGAACTGTGAAGAAAATGAATGGTAGCTAGAAGATCAATGGGATTCCAGCTCCAGCTGCAGATGGAATGAAGATATACCAGGACAAAAACAGCTATTTTTTGATTTACAAAGCTAACAGCAGTTTTAAATCTGCAACTTAATTACAGACCAACTACACCACAACCTTTTCAAATGGCAAAAATACAAAAAAGTTAAGTGTTACAAAAATATTTCAGAAAAAGTGCATAGTCTAAGTGCATAGTAAATAAAAGCACTGAAAAATATCTTGCTAGAGGGAGTTCAGCTTGGAAAAGTTATTACCAAAGCTAAACATTTTTATTTTACACAAACTATACTCAAAAATAGCTTTATGAGACTGATTTCTGGCTAAAAGTATCAAAGGGTTTATTATTAGTCAAGAAACAAATACCTTAACTGACATGGGTGGATAGAAAAGAAACAAATAAGCTGCCTACCCCAAAAGTTCGCACTCATTAAGATTTCTGCAGTGTGATGGTGCTAACAGATCCTTTAATAGCAGAATGTGGTAATCATGGGATTAATTATTGCTAAAGTAGTTTTAAAAAAGAAAAAAATAAAACTTAAACCTGACACAATCTGACCAAACATGTGTCAATGTACAGTTTCAAGGTTATTTTTACAAAATACCTACATTTACACAACAGGCTTCTGGCAGCATTTTCAGACAAAGGTTCTTTTAATTTATCCTGACATGCTATAAGTGAATAAATTACACTAAAGAATTACTGTCAGTAAGCTTTTCTTTCTCTTGGGTCAGAGAGAGGCAAGAAAAGAGTGCATTTAAGATTGAGAGGAAGCGCAGATAACTGAGGGAAAAGAACAGGGGCTTAGGGAGGGTCAGCAATCACATGAACCTCACCTGGTGGGATGCTCTCCAAGGTTAAGAATCAACCTGCTCAACTCCAATTAACAAGGAATTTAAAGAAAAACTACAAAATGGTAGTTAAACCCTTTAACGCTTTCATTCTTAATCAAACTCAGTCCAGCTGTGTAGTCTGAGGCTGCAGGAGTTACACCACCAAGCCCTGGCAGCTGCAGCACTAGGGACTGTGCCTGCAAGTCACTAAAAAAGGAAAAATGAAAGAATGCCTTTCCCCTTCAGACCACACACACACAAAAATTAAATAAAAAAATCTGAGGAAAAGTTTTAACGCTAAATCTAAAATGATTTGCAAAGGAATAGTATGTAACAAATGGCTTGAAGTAGTCTATTAAAAAATTGGGGAGATTTTGATTTCATAGTGAGTCAGCAAGGCATTTTTGTTGTTAAAAAAAATCTCATTTCCTTACAGAAACAGTTTTTAGTTTTTAATGAACTTGTAAACAAAAAAGCTCCCATTTCAAAATAAAAACAAAATCCCAGATCATATAGATGTTTACAGTGATTACATTTATTTTTTTTACATACATACATGTTCAGTTGTAAGATGTTAACTAAATTTCTGTGACAAATATGTTTTTTTAATACCAAGAACATTATAGAGTTAATGCAGAGTCCTAAGGATAATCTAGTAGTCACTAAGTTTTTCTTAAGTCTTCACTTTAGATGCTGTTATTTCTAGCACAGGTAAGCAGGCAGAGTCTTTCGTATGCTCAAACACTGGAATCTTTGGTTGCTACCATATCAGCTGGCTTGCAAACAAGAAGCCAACCGTTTTAAGAATGTTTTAAGTGAACAACTTGCAAACCCCAGGGATGGATAAACCCTAAGAATGCACAATTGTGAGCATTTACAACCATCACAACTGTGGCTGAAGACTGTTCATGCCGTTCTTCTGAAATGAGATCTCAAAGCAGTATAGTTCAAAATAAAAGATTTTAACAAAAAAATTGGCATATGCACAATTTCTCCACCAATTTGTGTGTGTCAACCATTTAGTTAACTTTTCCACTTGAAAAAATGCAATAGAAAACTGGACACCATGTTTCACTATCTCAGTTAATATTCACAATTACAGCGGCTACAACTCGGGACACGGCATCACCAATGCTGCCCAGAGCCAGTTTATACTGAAATTAAGTTCTTTACACCAAGTAAATGGTTGTTCACAACCACTGGCTAGTGTACATATGAACTAAAATTCCTAGATTTGGGGAGAAACAAATGCTGCTCCGATCATCTGCTCTGCTTCTTCTGTTCCTCGATTCATGCTTAGAAACCTGTTTAAAAAAAAAAAAATCAAAACAGAAAAAAGAATGTTAAAATTCCAAGTTAAAAAATGTATTTAAAAAAAAAAACTACACCCAAAATTGGGAAATTGGGTGCAACTGAGCTAATAATTACTTTAGAACGGTGACTCGTTATTTTCATCTATTTGAAAATGACTAGATCAATTTTTTAAAACAAGAAAACACCCTTTTCTGTTCTGAATGCCTTTAGGTAGGAGTGGTATACAGTCAATCAGTATTCCCAGGCAGCATACAATTCTCAAGCTAGAGATTACTGGTGATTCCAATGAGCCTGTTTTGTTTACTTCCGTATCTCTAATACCTAGAGCATGTTATGTGTTCAAATATTTATCAAACGAATGAAAAATAGATTGCTTTGCCTTAAAAACTAGAAAGTACGTATGTTTTAATCATACTATGTCCAGGAACCTTTCTGCACATTATTTCTGATACAAATAAGGAATAAGCTTTAATAATAAATGTACTCAACACATAACTGAATTATTCCAAAGAACACAAACTTGGTAAGTATATGATTTTTATACAGAAACCATGTCTTTCAAAATTCTTTACTTCCATCAATTACATTAAAAAGGTGAGGTTTTGCCCCAAATTTGAAAATATAAACAAGCGAGGCCCTTTTTTTTGGCTTTATTTATTTCTTAAGCCTTCCCACCCTATAAATACTACCCTCCTCCCACACAATTAGACTCTAAGACTTCCACATCCAGGCAGGTCTGAATAGAAAACAGCTTCAGGTCTGAATAGAAAACAGCTTCAGGTAATAATAGCTGCATGTCTCATCTGTAGCTAAAGACCACTAAAGGAAATGCTGATCTCTATTACCTATAAGCTTTATCTATGGCTAAAGGCAGAAAGGAAATACGCCCACTTCTCAACATGAAAATCCCATCAGTACCACCTCCTCTCACCAACAGCCATCCTTTGAGGTGTCTGTGCCCCTTGGGGCATCCCCTTGCAAACTCTTACAGCTGCCTCATTATTGGTCTTTCTAGCTCACTCAGATCTCTCACTTCTTTAGCACTGAAACCATGTTTTTGTTAATCATAAACTTCTCCTTTTGTACTTCTCAAACATTTGCTGGACCATCTCCAGTGGGCTTTGTGGGATAAATAATATGCTTCTATAATGTGCTTTGTATGCATGTATGTCCCCCTTTTCCAGGATAATACCACACATTGATATGTCATTTCTTGGTTAATACTGTCTCACTTGTTAACTAGGAGTTTTTCCATCTGAGGGCAGAAAGTCATCTTCATCCACTTAAAAACATATTGGGCTAAAGACCTAAGGACAAACAATTAAGTGTCGTACACTTTTCTTTCTCCACCTTGACTAACGGAGTTGGCACAAAATAGACCTTTGTTGCCTGTCCAAGTACTAAATTCATAAAGCAAATGCCAAAAATGAAAAACAACGAAACTTTCTAAAAATGTGCTTCGCCACAAGGAGTATTATCTATTTGGTGTGTATTACTGAACAGAAATACCAAGGTAAGCATAAGAAGAAAAGGCTGTCAAACCAAACCTGAATTAAGTTTTAAAGACCATATTCTGTAACCTGATTCCAATGTTAAAATACAGATTATTATAAAGCAGATTAAAACTATGAATTAGCTGAACAGAAATGGCCCTTACCCTGATGAGTATTTGAAGTCCCACAATTATTCTTAAATATGATAAAGAAAAATGTTTACGCAACTACTAAAAAGATTTATCATAGCTTGCTATGCAATTACATTATATTGAGCCATTTAATTACTACGCTGAATATCCAAACAGCTTTAAAATGGAAACCACTGTCACTAACTAAAAAGAAAGCTTAAGTTATATTGTCAGTCAAAACATCAGAAACTCTTCTGTCTTTAATAGGGATAAAAACTGTATCTAGATAAGAGTTTTATCTGTTCATCTTTTAATCTGATATTTTAGAAATTCCTGGGTCAATTAATGATTACAATTGCTTAGGGATCAGATAAAGGCTAGCCTAAAAATATTCCTGGTAGAATAAAGCAGTCAAATCCAGATTTGACTCTTCAGATCGGCCAATGGTAGGATACTCCACCCAGGGATCAATGTTTCTCCAGTGAATTGTCCTAAGATGTTACTGAAGATTAAGAAAAATCTCAAAGGGAGCATTCAGCAGGTATTCAACATTCAATCTTCAAGAGCTAAGCATTCTTTTTCCCAGTGTGCATGAGTCCTTGGTTTTTATCTTGTAGTTTAGGTGGTCTCTCCTGGCTTCTGGCTTTTAAAAGTCCCAAAACCCGTCTTCACTGCAACAACAGTTAAAATAAGGAATGGATCCCTTTGTTCCTAAAAAAAAGAGGAAAAAACAAAGTTAAAACAGAGTTGGATGATCACTAGGACCACTGAGTTAATAGCTACATTTAAATTTCTTTTCAAATCTGCAAAAGAAAAAAAATGTTTATATTTATTTAACTAATGAGAGTCTACCCTCTTACTCCAAAATCTGAAGATTATATATTGGCTCTTATTTGTGAATTCACTTCAGATGTCCCTGATTTTTTTTTTTAAATAGAACCACAAACTAGTTCAAGGAGCTATTTATATAATAGTATGGCTTAGAAGTTTGTGATGGGCTTTTGAAATTTTTGGATCCTTTCACAGTAGAAAACTAACTTTTTAAAAGCAATGTGAAGACAAGATCCATCTTCATGCAATGTCATTTATCAGGCAAACTTTTCCACAACATGCCTGTGTGGGTTTTTTGGTTACACAAAAATCAGAATCAAGCTTGGACAATTCTGAATCAGACTGGCACTTTAAAAGTTAAAGAAAAACAACTACAACAACCTTTCCTAACTAAACTAAAAATGTATTAAAAGTTGGGAAAGAAAGAAAATAGATTTTATTTTCATCACTACAAATAAATGACAACTTAAGTATACAAGATACATATTACCGCTAAACTGCATTTAAGAAAACCAGACGAATGATCTGATTTCTTTTGTCTTCCCTATTACAGAATTCTGAGGTTGTTGAACTTTAAAATACCTGTTACAACTGATTCCTTCCCCAACTGGTAGATGGTCTGCATTATACATCACTGAGTCACAGCAACACTGTACTCTTCTAGGTCTTCTGACTGTTGTGGTATCCATCCAATCTGACAAGTTGAAGTTTTTGATAGGTCCAGCAAGCCTTGGAGATGTGGGCTTCAAATCACCACAAACCAATTCTTGCACACTCCTCTTCACTTCCCGTTGGGGTACTGAGCTCTTTTCTCTCCAATTGTACTGTCCACCGTGAAAAAAGCTGACAAAAATTTCAGCAAGCAGATGCAGCTCCCTGGCAGTTCTTTAGATTGAGTATATTCACAGAAGATCAGTCTCCAGATATTTCAAGGTCTTCCCCTGTGATTTGGGTTACGTTGCTGAGTGACCAGCCACCTTCCTAGCAGCAATTGGTGAAGTCAGAAAAAGTTAAGCTAGACATAAATGGTAGGTGAATCCCAGTAAATACTGGAAGGTAATTCAAGGAGGACCATGGACATGGTAGGAGAATGTGATGGAAAAATATTTCTATCTTTTGTCAACAATTTGACATCCACATATATTATGATAAAATTATGCTTTGTATCAATGGCTGGAGTAGTGAAGATATGGATTAAGATGATGAGAAAAGAAATGTGAGGATCCAACTTTGGCTTCACTACCTCAAGAAATTCTCCCCATCTCTGACCTCAACTAAAGAAATGGTGATCTTAACTGGATTCTGAAGTCCTAAAAATATTTCCTTTTCGTTTAGTACTTCCTTCTTAAATGTCTTGAAAGGTTTCGTAATAATCACATATAGCTGAAGAAAAGGAAGTGAAATGAATCTGAAAGTGCCTCAGATGTGAATCTTTTATTTTTCTCTTTAATATGCATAAAAACAGTAATTACAATCTTGTGGCACACGAGCACTGCAAATTAGTACAGATCATAGTGGGCTTTATATGAGAAATGCCTTCTTAGTCTTTTGATGGGCTTTGGAATGGAATATTTTGAAAGATCTTTTCTTTAGAAAAGTAATTAGGAAAGAAGTCTGTTACAACAAGCTCATCTTAGCTGAGTAAGGCAGACTTTAAAGAGTCTTTCTGGACATTCTCAGTGAACTGCTGAAACAACTTAACACTTTTCCATGGAAGAAACATTTGATATACTTTTCAAAAAATAGAAATAATAATATAAAATATTAGTCGGTACCACCATTTGGGGGATTTTTCCAGGAATATTCCTGCAATATATAGCTCTACCTGTTGAAGATTCATTTAAGAAACTCAATTCTCTGTGGGAAACCTCTGAGAGTGTAACTGAATGAAAACTGATATGATGTATTTAAAAAGCATCTTCTAAAATTTTAATTAGAAAAATGTACTATAATGTTATCAGCATCACTGAAAGGATTTCTTGGAATCAGCAAATAGCTGAGCTGCATGAGCTCTTCCTTGAATAAAAAACTACTGTAGTGGACCCTTTAGAGACTGAAAATCAGGAAATAAGTAACCTAGAGTGACTGTCTTCAAACTCCAGACTTAATAAAAGATTTCTTACCATGTGACATGGATAATGGGATTGGGGTTAGAGAAATAGGCTCCCTATACTCATTTCTGCTATACTGTCATAGTTTTATACATAGGGGCTTTCATGTGCTATTTGTTTGGGGAACTAAACTCTATAACCAAAATAAATCTTTTTGAGAAGTCAAAGATCAAATACAACTTTGTTGTTTGTATTCTATGGCATGGCACATTTTAGTAGCAAGCAGTATTTCACTGGCAATCAAAATATACTACACCTCAAAATGTTTCTCTGAAAGTAGTCAATGGTAAGTACATTTTATGGAAAAGTCCAATTATTCAAAATTTTACAAGTTGGTGTTTATGTAATAATTTGTATAAACCATGGGTCTAACACTGCTATGAAAATTTTATAAGATTTTCTTTTCTTTCTTTTTTTTAAAAGTAAATTCTACCCCCAAAGTGGGGCTCGAACTCATGACCCTGAGATTATGAGTCACATGCTCTATACTGACTGAGCCAGCCAGGCACCCCAAACATCTTTTAAGATTTTTAAGTTGCTTTTATGTAAAATAGTTACAATACAAAATTAAGGATTAAACTTAAGTTTAATTACAATTTCTTTCCAAGGAAACATACTAACTCAGTGGATCCAACTTCTCATCTTTAAGACCTAGATAAGGCAGGACAAAAATTCTGCTTGTTTATTGAGAAAGAGACACACAGTAAACTAACAATGGAACTAACTCAAAATAAGGGAATTCTTTCTGAAAGCTGCTGAATGCCTGAAGTGAAATGTTCTAGGTCAGAGGAGATTTCAATCTAATTTTAGTTCTAGAAACTTCAACTCGTGACGATCCTATTATCCCAGCTAGCTTTAGGCAAAAATTAGTTTCATTTTATGAAAAGAAGCAAATACCCTATAGATGTCAGGTATTATAAGTCCTAAGTTTAGAACATTACATTGGTAGGACCATTTCTCAGAGACACTAGCTACCAACCTACCTCATTAAGAGCATGGCACTGTGATTAGTCATACAATGATTAAAACACTCAAAAGGGACAAGTTTAAGTCCCAACTGAGACACAGAGGCAAGCATTAGTGTTTGCTATCCTGAGCTGAAATTTCATCATCTAAGAACCCCCATTACATTAAGCCTTCAACTGTGAATCCTTCCCAAATACAGAAACATGGAAGAGAAGAATCTCAACTTCATTCCTAATAGATGAGCTGCTGGGATGAGGATGACATCAGTGAATTACACTTCTTGAAAAGTATTCTCAGATTAGAGTCTATTTTTAAATTACAAAATGTTTAAAATACAATTCTAAAAATATAGACCAAAGACGACTAAGTTCAGACTAGAGCAGTCATTCAGAAATTAAATAATTAGAAACCAAAGACCAAACCTTGCCTGCCCACCACTTCCAGAAAGTAGGCAGGTATCAGGAGGTAAGCCCCAGAAAGGGAGTAAAGAAAAACAAACAAAAACCATGAAACACAGGAGTCGAACTGTACGGCAACAGTGGCAAGACTGGAGCTGTGTCCTAACAGTTCTACTCCTTAGTAGCACCAAGAGTGCCAGAGACAGAAAGGAAATAGACTAGCAGTTCAGTGGCATTTGCCCCAGTTTTTTCCCCAATTTGCAAAGCCTAACTGAAGAATTCAATTCCACAACGATCCCTCAGAACCTGAGTATTTGCAAGATTTTATAAAATAGAGCCCAAAACAAATAAGAACCTCACGTAGTTAAATCGCAACTAAAAGAGAGATCTGGTTTTTGACTAGGAAGGATGTGTCGAGCTTTTCAGTTACTTGAGCATTTAAGAGCGCAAATGAGATGCTCTGCAACTGAGAAGATAGACACTTTGGGGGCAATGCCAGACCCACCTCTGGAAATTAGATCATGTTCACATTTTTCCATTTTAAATGCTAAAGCATTAACATGCAGAAAAAAATTCTCAACACTGTTAGTCTGAAAGAAAGTCCAAATACCATAGCTAACCAGATTCATTATTAAAAAATCAACAAGTGTTAGGTCTAGGATTTTGGATTGATTGATTATACCATATTCCCAACACCAAATATTTATTTTGGAAAGGTTAATGTATGAGTAAAAAAGATGCAGTTGTTAAAAATGACCCAAAATCCCAAGAGAAATGATATAATATATACACACATATATGTATATACAAATACATATACATATATATATGAACAAGGACATTTGGGTTTAAAGTTAGTAGTCAAATTTTCCAAGGACGTCTTTTTTTAAAAACACAGCGCCAAATTTTTACTTATTTTAAAACCACCTCCTCGATCTAACACTGTTAGAAATGAATGAATTACCCAATTTTGTGTTCAATTTGTTCCCTGTAACGTCACTTGGTTCTTGGCTACTAACCTTTCATGTTACTCTTGGTTTTGTCAGTTTGCTTGCCTGTGGGGGTTTGGGCCTGCTGACCCTGCCCACTTGAAGAGGCTGCCTGCTGTGCTGCTTTCTGCTTTAACATTGTCCAATCAAATGTGTAGTCATATTGGTGGTTCAGGGTCCTGTAAAACACAAAATGATATATGTTAATCCTTTAATAATAGAGTCTAGTTAAATACTACATTGAGCTTTCAAGACAGTGAGGGCACTTTTTAAGGAAATGGTAGTATTTTCTCTTAATTATGGTATTCTAAAAGATTTCATTCCATATACATGACTTTTTAATTGTTCAGTTCATTAATTCCACTTTTTACAAGTCACAATTGAAGGAAAATGATGTCACCACTTCGGTCTGATGTATTCATTAAGAATAAATCATCTCCTTTTTCAAAAAAGAAGCAGACTTTATTACTTTCTTGAAAGAGGCAGGAGAGTGGGAATGAACAGCAGCATGAACAAAAACATGGAGTCAAGCTGTCAATTATCTAGGGAACCATCCAAATAGGGGGTACCTTCTAAGAACAAATCAGAGTTAAGTATAAGAATGTAAGCTTGTGGGGGAGATATGTATGCTGGTGGCTTGGAAAGAAGACTTTTCTGGGGTTAGAGAATTACCCCCAATTCTTAATCCTCTTCCAACTAAGATTTTGGGCCACATGTACTTTACTTCCCCCTCTGCTCAAGACCAATTCTGGGTTGCACCTAGGGAACCCCAGAGTCTGAGGCCTATCTCCACACAATCACAGACCCCGTAACTATTTTAATTGCTGTTAATCTTGTTATTAAATAGGGTTCTGTAGCAAAGCTGGAGAGTTCCAAGGGCCACCAAGAATCACTTCTATCTAATATGAATGGCAATTATTGTGGAAAAGTTAGATTCTACTTTGAGTCTGACTCAACTGTTTCTCCATCCCAAACTAAAATAATTTCAAGCACATCTGCAACACAAATGGAAACATGCCAAACTCAGTTTCTTTCTTTTATTATTTTTTCCAAACTCAGTTTCTTAAGATTTTATTCATAGGGTTTAGACCCGCTTTAATTTGCTACTTGTCATCAGGACAGATGTGTTGGGTGGATTTAACTGGTTTCCCTTACTAGAGCCTACAGTCTTAAAAACACCTTAAAAACTGACCTGAAAAGAATGCGGAATAGCTGCCTCAGATACATGTAATCCGGGGCTTCCTCAAAGCGCAGCCCACGACAATAAAAAAAATAAAAAAAAAATTCTGCAGGAAACCCCTAAAGTTCAAGAGTTAAAACACAAAGTAAAAAAACAAAAAAATTTATTTAAGGCACAAAAATAAATGTATTTAAATACAAGTAAAAATTCTTTTTGAGGAAAGTGTTTAACTACTTTGCCGTAAGATCTAACTAAACTAACTATAATATGACTTGGTATCCTCATAAATCCTGACTACCTCATCATGTACATCTTTTAATATTGGCAGGGGAAACATGGATCCTTTCCCTACAGTATTATATTCTTAAGTAATTTGGATATCCAACTTGTTATTATTTTATCAATGTCTAATACTTCAATGGCAACAATGAACAAATGACCAAATGGACGCCAGTAAGGTTCTTTGCCACAACAGGTCAGTGAACTGGCATTTTCTCCCCAACTCTGTAATTACTTTTTTGGGGAAACATATATACCTATATTTATAAACAGAAAAGTAACATCACCTGGAGTACAAACATACGGTGCAACCACCGTTGTGATACAGATCAATCCAATGCTTTGTCCTACAAAAAGATTGGGTTTGCCTTTTCTTTTATCCGTAATTGTTATTATACTGCATACATAACATATTGTTTTTCCACTAACATTATATTGCAACTATCCTTCTGTGTTATTTCCAACGTAAGCTTCTGAATGGCTGCATAATATCCAGACCAGTGAATACATCATAATTAACTTGTTCCCTATATCTGGTCATTTAGGCGATGAAAATTTTTCTTTCATAAACAGTATTAATAAGTACACCTGTGGGCATAAACTTTTTACATGCTCAGCTTCTTAGGGAAGAGTCTCAAAAATGCATAACACATCTTTAAGCCTATAGATATTAAGCACCAAAAAGGATTTTGCCAGTAGGAATGTAGAAATGCAAAAAATTTAAACAAAAATCCCTACACACCCTGCCTCGAGTGTATGTGAATGTGAAGGGTGGTAAGTTAAAAAGAGTCTCTTCCTACAACCTTCGAATTTTGAGAAATTTCTCACATGCAGGAAGTTAAGGTGGGATATAATGGACATACTTGCAACATTTATTTTTACTCACTGCACTGATATAGGTATAATTTTTATGCTACTTCAGTGTTCGAGATGGAAAGCTGAAACCTTTTAAGTGATAAATATATTGCACGTTTAAGTTTACTTAAACTCTTAACATGACTTTAAAATTTTTAATATACTTTCATGGTCTGTGTTAATGGTAAGCAGTATATACCAAATGAACTTGCTTTTATGTGTATTACAAATAGAGCTAAACAAGTGCCAACTAAAAGTCAAATAGTTTACTTCATGCACTGCTACCTTATGAAAACAGGCAAAACCTTATTAACAAAAGAAAATTAATAATATCCTAAGAATTACAGATATGAAATAAGTAGTTACCACTGGACCATGAGCCTGAAAACAATCTCACTATTTTACAGTAATACTAATATTCTGTGTTCACTGCACCCTCAGATCAATTTTAAGTGGCTAATCCAGAAAGACCTAGTTCATTATTTCTAGATCAAAATTAAGACATAACCCAGAAGCAGACAATGTACTAACCCTCCCTTTCTTTTCCTGTAAAAATGGCTGACTTTTCCAATAATCCAAATGAATCATAATGTTGCATGGATATAGTAGTGTATAGAAAACATGTTTTGCTTCCAGAAGTATAAGATTGCAAAGTTATGTGGGTGCACTACAACACACGAACATTTTACTCATTCACCTAAAATGTATTTCATAATTTAAAACAAATCCCAAGAGTCTCAGAAAAGATGATAGTCTCTTACCCATCCCAACCCCTCCTTTACTGTAGATCTAGAGAAAATGGAAAAGCAAATCTGTGGACAGGGAGACATAAACACATCACCTCTCCCCCCCTCCACAAAGTACTATTTCAACACCATGTTCATTTCCCCCTTCTAACACCCAACTATATAATTATACAATGTTTCCTAATCATTTCAGGTACGCAATTGTCTGAGATGACTGAGATGACCGTGTGGTTTTCTTTCAATGGAATAGACCATGGTTATCCATCATGACACAGCTACTTCTCCATTCTCAACTTACAGGCTTCTCTAACAAAGTTTGAGATTTCAGGGAAACAAGCCTGACTCAAACTGTCATCTATATTGTTGGACACTGGCTATTTTGGACTGCTGTGATCTGCCTTCGTTTCTCTACTCCTTGATGTCCCTGACAACTATCAATATCCTTTCTTTACTGGCACTGGTTTAGAGATAAGGAGAATATTTCCTAATTTTGTCATAAATTGGTGAGGTTCCACTAGAAAACGTCACCTGCCCTGTTCTTCCTCAAATTTTTAACAGATTATAGGGCCCAAACAAACCAGAAACATAAAATGCTTATTTAAAATGACCTGTATGTTCAAGCCACTCTTAAAGATACTTAGAATTATCAAAACATACATTTAAAATAGCAAATAGCTACCTAACAGGATGTTTAAATTCCAGACTTCTTGGATTATTTTTATTAAAAAAAAAAAAAAGCCATCATGCACACTTACCTTACATAAAACTTCAACAGGAGTGGACATCTTCTTTTCACTAATCTTTTCGTATTTTTGCTTTTTTGTTGCAGCCTGTGGAAAGTAAGAATCAAACCACATAGACATATTCAATAATAAGAACCTTGTTAGTTTAACCCACCAGATATGAATGTACACTTGAGATTCAAGAGAAATCATAACCTGGAATAAAAAATAAATCAAAGTACAATATACCAAAATTTCCCAACCCTAAACTGTCAGCTTTTTATATGAGTTTCTACTTTAAAAACATTTTTAGCTGTTAAGAAAGGGTGAGTTTAATAAGAACATGATTTAATGGGTGAAGTTAAATCTGAAATGAGTCTCCACAACCCATATTCAACACAAGGGCAAAGGTATAAGTAGATCAATAACAAAAACAGTACCCATCATTTAGTAACACTATATAAAGTGTAGTAACATTATTAAGTGAAGTCAAAATATTTTTCCAATGTAAAAATAATTCATATTGGATAGAACTATCCATACAAGCACTGAGCAACTGTCTAGTTCACAGATGCTCAATAAATACAGGGACCATTTTTCTTTAAAGGACCAATAAAGTATCAAAAGTAGCCTTTAGGGGAGCCTGGGTGGCTCAGTCATTAAGCATCTGCCTTCGGCTCAGGTCATGATCCCAGGGTCCTGGGATCGAGCCCCGCATCGGGCTCCCTGCTCGGCGGGAAGCCTGCTTCTCCCTCTCCCCCTCCCCCCTCTCGTGCTCTCTATCTCTCATTCTCTCTCTCTCAAATAAATAAATAAAATCTTTAATAAAAAAAAAAAATTGGCTTTAAATTCTAGGACACTGAGTTATCATTAACAGACTCAGAATCTAAGTCAAGGTGAAACTCCTAATTAATAGAAACAAGTGTTAGGATAATTAAGATAGCTAGTATTACTAGAAGAACCAGTTTTACTACACATAAAAGTATACATTTTCAACATACTGGCAACACATCAAAATGAGAAAGCCTCCACCTTTAATTAGCCCATGTCAATTTCCACTGAGATTAAAGCTACTGGTTACCAATGGGTATCTGCTTACTGTCCCAAAGGAAATTGTTCTTTAGGCCTGACTACGGGATTCCATTAACTTAATTCTTAAATGATCAGATTTTATTTTCCCAATAAAAGGTAAAAAATAAAGTTAATTTACTCTCAGAAAGCCTGTTTGAAAGGGATCTTAGGGGCACCTGGTGGCTCAGTCGTTAAGCATCTGCCTTCGGCCCAGGTCATGATCCCAGGGTCCTGGGATCGAGCCCCGCATCGGGCTCCCTGCTTGGTGAGGAGCCTGCTTCTCTCTCTCCCTCTGCCTGCCGCTCCCCCTGCTTGTGCTAACAAATAAGTAAAATCTTTAAAAAAAAAAAAAAAAAAGGGATCTTAAAGTTCATCTCCAATATGTACTTTTATTCTTAAAACAAAAAACTGGGAATGGGAGTCTCATTTACCTTTAGTCCCTGCCATGGCAGGCTGGTTCTATTAAAATACATCAAAACATATCCTAATGATTCCATGTCATCTCGGCGACTAGAAAAGAAAATGTAAAGTTATGAGCTGGAATTATTATGGAAAACATGTGAAAGAAAGGCAGGTACACAAGAAGTTTTCCCAAGCGAGGAGAAAAAGCAATTTGGTGGCTTGTGAAAGAACGGACTTTAATAAAAAATAAAAATTAATTAAAAAATTAAAAAGTTCATAAAGAGTTATAGCTAACAAAATTTTCTCACAGAATACAAAATTATAAAATCCAACACAGTCCTGCAATTTAATTTTTAAAGAGCAAAAGGATTTAGCTGAACAACTTTCTAAATGAAGTTAATAAAGACGGAAGAACAAAGGAGCAGGATACTTTTAAGTTTTGCAGAAGCTTATAAAAAAAGAACTTGAGGGATGCTGAAATATATTATTTTAAAGCTAGTTAAGCATCTATATGAATATATATACACACATACACTGAACATTTCCTAAGCTTAAAATTCTTCTCTTGAAGTTCCCTAACCTGGAAGCATATCATTTATCATTTCTATGCTTGTTTTAAGGAGCAAAACTGACTGATAAAAGATGAAGATGAAAAACCAGGAAAAAAAAGAAAATAGAAGATCTAGAAAAAGCATAGAGATCATGACAATGTTTACCTCAATCCAGATCCTATTAATTTATGTAGGAGTGAAAAGGTAGAACATGAGAAGGCCCACCAACCCCTTCTTGGTCCATCAGGACTCAGTTAATAACATTTTCCTTGTAAAAATAAATAACTAATACATTCTTCTCCAAAATTTAACTTATACTACTAAAATAAAAGAAGTCCAAGATCAGCATTAAGAAAATAAGTACTGTCTTCAGCTGCAAAAAAATAAATAAACAAGATAAAACTGCATGTTTGCTAACTTTCCATCATGCAATATTTTCTCCCAAGAGACAACCTTCAACAAAGAAAACAAAAGGTCTCTCATTTAATTGGCTTCTCAGCACTAACTAAAGCCAACAGGTAAAAGGATTAACATGCATCCTTCAAATCCTCAGCCAAAAGACGTCTTTATGTATCATTACAACTAGTTAAAATATTTCAAAAATCCTTTAGTGACTTTTGCTATGGATTTGATAAACACATTCATTTTTCAAACTCACCTCTGTTCAATCCCAAGATGTGCATTGATGCTAGCGTATCGAGCAGTGCCAGTGAGATTTTTATCTTCTCTGTATGGTATGTGTTGCCTTGTCCTGTTGTCTCTGTACTTTTTGGCCAAACCAAAATCAATAAGGAATAACTTTAAAAGAAAATAAAGGGATATTAGGCTTCCAACCTTGTTCAATTGAACTGCTTCTTATTCTTAAATGGCATTTATACTATCTTGTTCAATTGTATCAAAATAAAGTATCACAGGCAGAAAACATGAACAAACAACACTCCAATAAGCTTCTACTAGTCCTCATCAATAAATCAAGTTAAAAAAAATACAGTTTTAAGTGGTTGATCCTTGTGAGCTGAACCAACTTCACAGGCCCAGTTTACTATACGCTCAGGAGCCTATCTTTAGAAAAGTAGTGGAAAAATATATACATGTTTGTTAGCAGAGTTGACAAGTGTGCTGTGTGCCATGATGAAATCTGACATCCTGTTACTGTTGGTAAACAAGCATGAGGTTTCAAAAACTAAACATAAACTATCTGGAATTCTTCCATTTTATAAAGGCCATTCTTCATTCATAATGCCAACAGAATGTTCATTATTTAAAATAAGATAACTGAAAGTTTGTTATTGACAACCCAAAATTTTTATTAACCAATAATAAGGATTTTTTTTTTTTTAAAGCATGCATTACTTCCCACTGACATTTATCCATGTTATCAGGTTAAACTTCTGGGAAATACAGTAAGCTGATCAAAAATCTTTAAAAAGTACTTAGTATTTACTTATATCAAGATAACTTACAATCAGCAGTTTAAAGGAGCTAACTAAAAACCATACTAGTATTTTAGTGCTGTCTTATTTATATGGTACACAGGGAATAAGATAGTCATTTATAATGTAGCTAATTTTTAAAAGTAACTGAGGTTTATTCTCCATGATTAACACTTTCAAAGAAGGAAAAAACCTGTTTTTGATCAAAAAAGAAAAAAACCCAAAATATATTAATATTTACCTACCTTCTAAAGCAAAATAAATAATCTTTACTTCAATTTTTAGTCCTGATCATAAATTCACTTATTAAAGTTATGTTTACAAAGATTATCCAACAAGGCAGGTCTATGTGGCCTTACAGTACATAGCCCTAGACTTTTTTCCCCCTAGTTATGCCTACATTTTATAGTTCTTTTTTCCATTAAGTAGACTTTGGGTCCCTTCTACCCAGTTTATAATTTGTAATATCCTAGGAAACTGGTCACCTAGCCTATTAGAGTTTGTATAAGAATAAATAAAGTGAATGATTTAGGTGAAAAGATGTGATCAAATGCCTCTCTTAGGAGGATGAAAAACACTTCTATCGAGGGGTACCTGGCTGGCTCAGTTGTAAGAGCATGAGACTCAATCTCCGGGTTGTGAGTTCCAAAACCCACTGTTGGGCATAGAGAGTACTTAAATAAATCAGGAAAAGAAAAAGAAAAAGAAAAAGAAAAAAAAAGAGAAAAGAAAAGAAAAAAAAGAAAAGGAAAGGAAAGGAAAAGAAAAGAGAAGAAAAAAGAGAAGAAAAAGAAAAAGAAAGAAAGAAAAGAAAAGAAAAGAAAAGAAAAGAAAAGAAAAGAAAAAGAAAAGAAAAGAAAAGAAAAGAAAAGAAAAGAAAAGAAAAGAAAAGAAAAGAAAAGAAAAAAAGCCCACTTATATCAGGCAGGCACGGTACCCTAGCCTTAACTGGACATCGGGATGGGAAAGACATGGAGGTTTGAGCTTATGTCACCAATGTAACAATGAGATACTTATTTTCACCTGGTCTACTATAAAAGAATGAAGATTACATTTTTAGTAAAATTTAACTGGATGAGAGGTCTCTAGTAGATTAAATTCACTTCCTCAGCAATCGCATTATTATACGTCTATGAGAAAGTCTTATAAAATACAAAGAGAAATAAAGCTCACACTCTTAAGTTTCTCTTGATATGAAAATGGGCTCAGTATATAAATATTAAAATGAGCAAAATACATTTCTGTGAAGCAAACCAAAAAGTATGACTTAAGATTCTGCAGAGTCACACTGAAAAGAAAACAAGGCAAAAACAAACACAAAAAGGACACCCAGCTTCGTAGTATTTTTTAAAAATACCCCTAAGAATTATGTGGGTTTTAAATAAAAGGTGATTAGGACACAGACTCTCCTCTAAAGGATATTTTCTGGGATTGCTTCTTTTAATACTTCAAAATAGAGGAGAAGATAGAACAACTCTGGACATATTATACCTGACAGTTTCAGTCCTGTCTAAGTCTACATTCAGTAGCTCCATTTGCAACTCAATAACCAGACATTTTCTCACAACTTTTTAGGATTTTATAAAAACTCAGTGTTTACTACAGTTCTTTCCTTCCACAACTCTAAAGGATGAAATGTAGTTTATTAAGAAAACAAACATTATCTTCTCAAATATCTCCAACTTTAATATCCAAAACAAAAAACTACAAAGCAAATCAACTCTAAATTTTCTCTTACAAAACCTGAGAATGAGTCAGGAAAAATAATTTCACTGCTAAACAAAGCTATTTTATTTTAAGAGCAAACAAATGAAGAGAAAGGTTATTCAAAATTTTAAAAAAATCTAAATCTCTTGGTAGTTCATAAAAAAATGGTGGTACCTATCAAGCTTCATTAGTAGCCCTCTCTGCTTTGATTTAAAAATGAAAAAAACATCAGAGAAGTGTTTACATGACACCACAGGATGCCAAAGATACAACCAAACAGCCGCAAATATATAAAGAACCAAACAAGGAAAAGTCAATATTCAGTAAGTCGTAAGATGATGTATTTTTTATAGGTTTGCGTATGCAAAAAGAAGTCTAATTTCTTTGGTGGGCCAAGCTGCTTTTCTGTGGATTTGTGTTTTGTGTTCCAAGTAAAATTTGTGCCTGTTTTATAGAATGCAGCCTATTCTTCAAAGGCATGTAGGAATGAGTTAATGTTGGATATACTGGGATAACTCCATTCAGCAGAGGTGCACCTTCCTCAGAAACACTAACGCTAATTTTAGTTTTCAGTATATCTAGCAATTTTTTTCTTAACCAGGGGCCACTTTTCCCCGCCCTTCCAAAAAATTCACAAGTTCACTTTTTTCTTCACAACCCAGCTAACCTGTACATAGAGAAAATAAACAATTCAATTTTATGGAAATTATTAAATGATTATGCTACAAAATATAAATTAAACGTGTGAATGAATGGATAAGCAAAAATGGGGCACTAGGTGCTTTATAATGTGCCTAATTAATTACCCAGCAACCCCTCTTCCCACCCCCCAACTAAGAATCAGTCACAATTGTTCTTTCTTTGTGAATGAAAATAAGTTTGAATTTCGGAAACCTATTTAACAGCAGAAGATGGTACCTGGAATAATGCTGGGCAGTATGGAAAAGAATTAAATGATCACCCAGATGATGAATATGGTACAAAGTATGGAACATACTTTGAAACTACAAAGTGTGCTCATAAACCAAATACAACTTTTCTCTTTTGATTACTCATGCTAATACTTCCTTTCTCAGTATATACTAAATTCAATGATGAAGATACATTTATTTGCTCAAGAGCTTAATTAACAAAGCTCGCTAACTTCCAGGGTTCCACCTACATTAAAAAAAATTTTTAAGAAAATTACTGGGGTGTTTACTTAGCCTGCCAAACACTAAATCATCAGGTTATGCATTCCTATGTGTTATTAATTGGTAACTATTTGATAAGTGCTTCAATGATGTTATTGTTATATATTGTTAGACTGCAATGTCTCCTAGTTCCAGAGCATATAATGCTCTTTCAGCATCTCACGCCATTTGGTTGAAGTTGGGAGAATTCACAGACTGAGGAAAATCAATTCTAGAAACACTAGATCTCAAATCTGATCTACACTTACCTGAAGTTCACTAGGGAAGGGGAAGAGAGTTGATGCAGAATATATTCATCATACAGCACTGATGCAACTGAATTTAGATATATTTCATGCATTAAGTTCTGCAACTCCAAATACATTTTTAAAAACTAAATGGTCTATCTCAAGTTTACCATTAGACAAAGAATTTCAATACTAGACCAACATATCATTTCCTCATGTGGATGTTAGAGATCTAAACATAATCCTGTTTTCATTTAGGTTTTCTCTAAACTTTACAAATTTTAAGCAAAAGCCACAAAAAAAAAAATCTTAGTAATGTTATATGTTTGCCAAGTATGTCTGAATAATGCCAACGTAAGAGATGCTTGAGCAAGATCTACATTCTCCAGAATTAAAACAAAACAAAAATAATCAAAATAAAACAATAAAAAAGAAAAGCACATGAATTTGGGATTGAGGTTGGAATAGGAGACAGTTTCAGACCTGGTTTAATCCTGAGAAAGATGGGTCCTGAGAAGTACTAACAGTCATGCTTCTTTTCCTCTTCCCCACTGGAGATTCTAAACACTAAACAGACAATAGAGGGTGGCAGTGCATCAAACAGTATTGCTTACATTGCAACAATGGCCGGCGCAGACAGGCAACACCGAGGCATTAGAGAAAGAACAGGGTAGCCAAATGCCATCCTTCTTCCACCAAGCACTGTAGCTTCTCAGTTTTCCAAATAAGAATCACATGCTCAAGAACATTTGAATTCTGGAAAATACTCAAGTTTTTAATTTTTTTTTATTGTGTCACTGCCTGAATCAGGGATAGCAATGGTGACATTTGGCTCTTTAATTTTTTTTTAATCAAAACTGGGGAATTTGGCTCTGGAATATTTGGTATCACAATCTGCCCTTCCCCCAAAAAAGATTGTAGAGGGGAAAAAAAATCTTCAGTAAGGAAGAGGTAGAAGGCATTTAGTCACCTCAAAATTGGTTTTCATAAGCATGCAGGGCTGATTACTGGAAGAGATGAACAAATTCACTAAGATAAAAAAAATCACTCCTAAATATCAACCCCCCCACAATTTTCCAAATAAAGAAATTTGACTCAAAAAAAACCACAAAACCTCAAAAGCCCCCCCACTCTTTTTCCTTTTTTTATAGAAAACTACTACAACAAGCTAACCAAAGAATCCAGTCTCATAAAACTGGCATTTTTTTCAAACTACAATACAGAAGGAAAACACTAAAAACCAACTACATAAACAGAACACTAATCTAAAATGTTCAAGAACAACATTTAGAATTTGAATCTTAGTTAAGTGAAACACTGCACTTCTACCCTAGGGTCTCTGAACTGTATTAACAGCAAGCAGCTCCACAGTATTTTATTACCTCTAGAGAGGACACAAGATCCTAAAAAGGTTGGGGGGGGGGGGCAAATTGGACATCCTAACACAACTATGTAATTAACAAGCTATTTTTAAAGGGGGGGGAGCAAAGAGGTATTATCTAGGTCATCATTTAATTTTAAGACAAAAATCATGTACTGCAATGTCGACACGCAGAACACAGATCACAAGAGGATAATGGGTCTTTAGCAGGAAGAAAATGGGGAAGGAGGGCTGGGAAATGGCCAAAAGATCGGGGTCAAGCTGACAAAACTGCCCAAAAAATTAAGACCAGTAACTTTTTTTTCAATTCAATTACCAGGTTTTGCAATAACAATTAAGCACCTGGATGCTTCAGAGAGAGAAGCAATACAATATTAAAAAAAAAAAAAAAGATGCAATTTGGGAAAAAAAAAATCAGTTATATGTCGATATACACACCTTTCATTATTTAAAATTTAGCTTTCAACAAAAAAAATTTATTTCCTCGAACTTGGTCAGACCAACATTAATGTCTCACGCATTAACAAATAACACCAGTTCTAATGGTAATGGCTACAAGTTGGCATTCATACAGGCAAACAAAGGTAAACATTTATAGCCAGACCTAAAAACACCAAACATTTCCTAATGATTTAATAAAACAAATGGGAATCTTCCTTCCAAAAACAAAACAAAAAACCACAAAAACCAAAAAGCCCCAAGTTGTCCTGAAGTTGAGAATTTCTATCAGATCATCAGATCATAACATGCTTAGTGCATTGCCAATGCTGCCTGTCTGCCCGAGCTCAACATTGAATTGATAAATAAAGCAATTCACTCAATAAAACTAATCATTGCAGATAAAGTTTCAACACAATTAGTTTCTAACTGCAGTCATGCGTCACTAGCTAAAACCCAATCACCCCGTATGTTAACCATTCTGAGACCCCAATGAATACTAATTTTGTTGTATGAATGTTCATTTCACTTGACTATATATTTTCCTTTGAAAGGGGAAGGAAGGATGGAGAATCCACCCAACTTGGCACCCAAGTAAGAAACTGTCATCTACTTTTGAAGCAGGCCTAAAAGTTATCCTTTTGAATACACAAATCCAAGGACTGAAGAATTCTCATTATGCTCATGCTCAGTCAGCAAATGTTAACGCCATGGTGACAGAGGGGTCAGTGGTTCCCACGCTGGCACGAACACATATATTACAAAAACCCACACTTCAGAGACAAAGGTTAAAATCTGATTTTAGCATTCAGGAAAAAAAGTATATGGGGTTTTTTACTACTTGAATGAATGAAAAATAGATACAATTGTTTAATAATAAAATAACAGATAATTACATTTCATTATAAAGCCCTTGGGAATTTTATATTTCCATATAGATAATTAACCTTGGTTGGGTAAGTTGGGAGAAAATTTATTTCAAGTTACTAAGTTAATAGAGTTAGCTGATTACCCTTCTAGCACAATCTTTTAAAGCAATCATCAACAGCAAATACAATTTCCTATTACTTTTTCAAGACTGAAAGTCTACCAAAGCAATTGGGAGTTTTTTACTCTTTGTTCTTTCATGCAAAGAACATTTGACTAACCTTATTACAGTGACGCCCAATACCCATTAGGAAGTTATCTGGCTTAATGTCTCTGTGTATAAAATTCTTTGTATGCACATATTCAATTCTACTGATCATCTGGAAAAAAAAAGGGAGGGGATGAGAGATAATTATGTAATTTGAATTGTGATACAAGAAAGCAACACATTATTTCTCACTCACAGATATATTTTAACAACTTCATTTAGAGTTCACAAAGACAGTGCTAGACAAAATTAAATGTAAAGGGCATGGATACTGAAGCATAAACCTGCCCCATTCTTTGGCATGTTCTAGTATTGATTATAAACATAACATCTAACCTGGTAGGAAGAACTGGTGTTTGCAATTTTTAAATTACAAAAGTAGTAAATTTAGAATTGTTTCAGTTAGAGCTAATCATCAACTTTCCACACCCAATTCTCTGCCCCAAGGTAACCTGTGTTACAATAGCCTGGCATTACCCATTTCCATGCTCTTATTTACACACACTCATGAACTCAAGACACATATAATTGGGAATGGAGATGTTGACCAACTGAAAGATATAAGCTGTTACTGTTTTAACTGGAATAAAAGCATCCTATTCATTTTATTCTTGTTTGCTTCTTTTTAACTAAACATTCCTGGAAGTTAGTAGCATACAACATAAACATATTTTTTTGGGACATACACATGCTGTGTTTCATTTCTTAGATGCTTTTTGAAGTCTCCCTTGTTTTTTTCTCCACACAAGTAATCACATTCAAAAACTGAATAGTAAGGATGTCATTCTAACAATCTTTTTTAATTTCTTGGAAATTCTGCCAAGTCAAATGGCATAGGTCTTAGCATTCTTTTTAACAGCCATAAATAAATATTCTATGGTATAGATTAAGTTTTCCCCAACCATTATTCCCACTATTCCCAACATCTTCTCACTGTGAACAATAATGCTATTAACATATTTAAATTAAATACATCCTTACCTACTAGTGCTTTCATTTCTATGGGCTATAAACCCCATACAATTGTAGGGAGAGAGGCTGGGTCGAAGTAGCTATCATTTTGATAGGTGGCACCAGATTGTCTTTAAAAATAGGCTCTAACAACGGGGCGCCTGGGTGGCTCAGATGGTTAAGCGTCTGCCTTCGCTCAGGTCATGATCCCAGGGTCCTGGGATCGAGCCCCACATCGGGCTCCCTGCTTGGCGGGGAGCCTGCTTCTCCCTCACCCTCTACTGTTCCCCCAGCTTGTGCTCTCTTGCTCTGTCAAATAAATAAATAAAATCTTAAAAAAAAAAGAAGTTAAATAAAAATAGGCTCTAACAATTCATTTTCCAGCAGTACTTGAGAGGATTCTTTTTCCCATTGGCAAACTTATTTTAGTTCCTTCTAAATTTTGCCAATACGACAGGTATTGACCTCACTTCTTCACTAACACTTAGTTAAAAGTCTGCTCATTTACTGTTCTGGAACTGTCAATCTGTACTTTGTCCATTATTCTTTTGGCTTGTCCTTTTCTTATCGATTTTAAGAATTCTGTGCATATAACAATCTTTTTATCTCTCATTTGTTATGTAAATAAATTTAAATTTTAAAAAACTGTCTTGTTACTATGGCATCACTTCTAGAATAGTTTTAATTGTCAAATTATCAAAAATGTCTATCTTTTCTGTAAGATACTTAAAAGTATTTGAAAATGTTTTCAATATCCAAAGACTAACTTTATCTTTCTACCCATACATGTTTTTGCTCTTCTCAGTAGTATGTGTCAGGATTCTACTTATTTGTCCCCACTTTCCCTAGAGCTTTTATTACCATACAGATTCTGAACTCTGACAAACGTCTCTTAAAGCCAAATCTATAATCAAACTATTTATACTTTCAAGGAAGTAGATGTATACAATGTCCAAATAGCACCTTTAGTTACAGCAGCAACTTGTACTTTATTAAAGAAGAAAAAAACATTTCTCTCACTTAATGTACTTACTTGTCCTAGTCTAAGTGATACCCATCATTAAACCAGGATCATTGATTCACTGGGAAAGTGTGGCAAAAGATAATAAATGGAACCAACTACTTACCTTCAAGTGTTATCATCTACAGAGCCAAAACTTAGCAGCTACCTCCTTAAACCCTTGCTTTAATGCAACCCCCTTCCCTGAACTACATTTTTTTCTGTTACCAGTGTACCCAATATAGACTTCTATCACAAAACCTTGAACATCGTATTTTTTTCCATTTTTCTCTACTGAACTGTACACTCCTAGAGGAAAGGGACTAGAGTTCTTATTCTTCTTTGAATCCTCCAGTTCTAAGTAAAGCAGAAGGCCCTGAATGAATAAATGTTCACTTGTTAATACCTATGTGTTACAGAACCTACAGAATATAAACTTTTATTAGGATTCATTCACATGCTAGTTAAAACATATTAGGAGGATCTTAACCTTCAACATTTGAGTTCTTAACATACCACAAATAAAACAATGTAATTTGCTAATATTTGCTTGAGCCACTCAAGAGTTTTTTTCGTTAATCTTACTAGAATATCAGGTGATTACAGAGAATGAACACTATTTTCTAATCCTTTGAATTTATACTTTTAAAAATTCTACCTCAAAAGCCAGTGTATCATCTTTTATTTTGACATCCAATTTAAATGTTAAAAATGTTACTCTCTTCCACAGCATTTTTATATATTGAGCCCTTTCTTCAAAAATCTTATAAAGAAACCTCTATAATCTTCACTAAAACAGACTCCATCTGATGAACAACTTGAAAACTACTGAGCACCAATATAATCCATTTCTGTCCTATGCCACAGGAAAACCTCTATTAAGTCTTATTAAAGTAGTACTCTTGAATGAGTACAACCTACTATTATATCTTTTTTATTTTTGCTGAACCTAAGGTACATAGCACAGGATTATACATACTCTGGTTTATAAAAATTTATATTACAATTAAATTATGAGTATTCTCAATTTTTTTATTTTCATCAAAATTTCACATACCTGGTCAGCTAACATAAGTACAGTTTTCATTGTGAACCTTCTTGAACAGAAATTGAAGAGGTCTTCAAGGCTGGGTCCAAGAAGATCCATGACTAGCACATTGTAGTCTTTTTCCTGACCATACCACCTAACAAAATAAAAGGGGAAAAGGGAGAGCTTTAGGAAAAGGTGATTATCACTTAATATCACTAAATTTCTAAAATTCTTAAGCTCTAATAATAAGATAGTTTTCCTTATCTATTTATTTTATCAAGGTTACCATAGGGGCACCTGGCTGACTAGTCAGTGGAGCATGCCACTCTTGATCCGGGGGTTAGGAGTTTGAGCCCCACACTTTTTTTATAGATTACTTATAAAATCCTTAAAAGTAAGTAAATAAATAAAGGTACCATATATTTTTTTAATCTACATTTTAAGTAATCTCTACACCCAATGTGGGGCTGGAACTCACAACCCCGAGATCAAGAGTGGCATGCTCCACAGACAGCCAGCCAGGTGCCCCAGCCCCAGTTAGGTTTTATTTAAGGTTTAAAGTCTTCCTCTATTCAGATGATGAGTCCACTGACTGACTATACTGCCCAACACAAAATTAAGGGTAAGGAGAGTTTCTTCTGTCAAGTGGCCCCACTGTCATATTAAGAGAGAACTTGCACAGTAACCTTAACACTCCTCTTACCAGAGCATTTGAATTCTATATCCATCTGCCATTGATTCCCATGACTTCTGCCAAATTCCTTAATCTCACCTGATACTACTTCCTAACTAAAGAAATGAAGGAGACTATTCCAATCTTACAAAGCAAAGATCCCTTTTGTTAGAACTCCTGTCCCATTTGCTACCAAGTTGTATTAATCAATAATTACTAGTTTTTTTTTAAAAAAAGGAGTCACATGGGGCACCTGGGTGGTTCAGTTGGTTAAGCGACTGCCTTCAGCTCAGGTCATGATCCTGGAGTCCTGGGACTGAGTCCCGCATCAGGGTCCCTGCTCAGCGGGGAGTCCGCTTCTCCCTCTGGCCCTCCCCCCTCTCGTTCTCTCTCTCTCTCTCAAATAAATAAATCTTTTTTTAAAAAAAAATAAATAAATGTCACAGTTTTGCTTAGTTTGATTACCAAAAATAACCATTATTACCATAAAGATGACATATGCTTTTAACTGGACCCCTGTTTTAATTATCCAGTACTTTATTACTGTGGGTAAATATACTATTTGTCCCCCCAAACTCAAGGAATAGCTAACTTTTAATTTTAGAGATTCCAAGGATTGGGAATCACTATAATAAATGATTTCAAGTTTCTATATGCCTATAAGATTCTGCTTGAAAAGAAAATTGGCCAATAAAAAAAATTTTAAGTTATTTTAAAAGACAAGTAATCTGTTAACTTCAACAAAAACTGATACCAAGATTTACCATTTTGACAAGTTTGTGTTTTAAAAATATTCAGAAAAGGGAAAAAGGCTTAAAAAAATCTATGGCAAAAGTATTAACAAATCATTAGTCTAGTGGAAAACTGTTTAGTGCCATTTCTTTTTTTAAAATTTTGCTTTAGTATGTTGTTTCGTTGATAAGCCAATTATTTAAAAGAAAATCAAGATTAAAATTAGAGTGTGTGGGGGGCACCTGGGTGGCTCAGGTCATGAACTCGGGGTCCTGGGATAGAGCCCTGTGTTGGGCTCCCCACTCAGCGGGAAGTCTACTTGTCCCTCTCTCAAATAAATAAAATCTTAAAAAAAAAAGTATGTGGGGTTAATATTTAAATATTTTTCTAAGAAATGCAAAGTTAACGACTACATAGGTGGTCCCATATTCAGATATAAGGAATATGCTCCCTAAAATCATGTTATGAGAGTAAAAGACTAAAAAGGAACTAGTATAGAGGCACCTGGGTGCCTCAGTATGTTAAGTGTCTCCCTTCAGTTCAGGTAGTGATCCCAGGGTCCTGGGATCGAGCCCCACATTGGACTCAGGAAGCCTGCTTCTTCCTCTCCCTCTGCCTGCCTCACCCCCTGGCTTCTGCTTTCTCTCTCTGTCAAATAAATAAATAAAATCTTAAAAAAAAAAAAAAGGAACTAGTATAAAAAGTTCACACTCAGGGCACATAGGTCAGAGTTGGTTGAGCATCTGACTCTTGGTTTCAGCTCAGGTCCTTATCTCAGGGTTGTGAGATGGAGCCCTGCTTCGGGTTCCATACTTAGCATGTGGAGTCGCTTCAGATTCTCCCTCCCTCCTCCTTTGCCCTGCCCGGTGAGGCTCACTCTGTCTCTCTAAAGTAAATAAATAAATCTTAAAAAAAAAAATTCACCCTCCTTCCTATGCTTCTGTTCCAACTGTTCTTGAGAACTATTTTACACACACGATAAACAAATAACTGCCACGAAACACACAAAAAGGAATCAATTTTCACACCCTTTTGCAGAAAAAGGTACCCTGATGGGAAAGTTTCTGCTTAACCTTTCAGAGATCTTGCCCACTACCCTAAGCAACAGAAATGGCCAATGGCAGAGTCGGTCTAGAATTTACTGTACTTAAACTGTTATACAAAGCAGCTGTTACTTTCCCTCTTCCAGCCTTTGTTTTCCATATAGGAATTCAACACCCTTGACATTCCTTTAAACATTTACTTGAAAGAAAGACTCACAGTGGTTGGTTTTTGGGGCTGGAGGTAGGCACAGGAAGAAATGGATAAATCTAACAAATAATAATATTAAAAGGTAAAATATGAACAAAGAAATAGGTATATGTTCTTTCCTTTTTCCTGTTTATTTTCTTTTTCTTGCATTTTTCCTCTTCTTAACTGGAGAGGTAAATCTGTGCTAGGGAGCTGTCAGGACTTCAAAATCAATCCTTGCCATTATAAATTTTTTTTACTAATATTAGCAGATTAGAGAGAGAGAGAGAGTTTACCTAGGGTTTTTTTTATTTTTTTAATTTATTTATTTGACAAAGAGAGAGAGAGAGAGGGAACACAAGCAAGAGGAGTGGGAGAGGGAGAAGCAGGCCTCCCGCCGAGCAGGGAGCCTGACACGGGGCTTGATCCCAAGACCCCAAAACCATGACCTGAGCCACCCAGGAGCTCCTAACTTACCTAGGTTTTAAAGAAAAAGAAATACTCTATACAAGAACACCAAATCCAGGCAGCAGCTCTTTCTGCCAAAAAAAAAGTCCCCATGCTTTAATAAACCATCTTTTTGCACCAAAAACAAAACAAAACAACAAAAAAAACCCCACCAAATCCAGAAAGAGCTAAAGCAATGAGAAGTCACAAAAAGTCAAAGGTGAAAAGGAAAAGCAAAAATCAACTCTCCTCAGACCACATGACATCTCTCCACGGACAGATTTCCACTGGATACCTTACTAAGAAAACTACAACAGTTGAGCAAATTTTACAACCATCCATCTAACCCAGATACAAACATGAAATGTAAAAGGCACAAATTTGTATTTCCTATCTTCATGCAATTACAAAGGACTTCAAAAAGACCTTTCTGAGAAGTCAGAAACATGCTAAAGAAAAAAGAATCAGGTTACTGGGCATTTTCCACCTTACTTGCATAAGTTGTGTAAGACGTATCTGCTATTCTCAACGTCAAAAAGATAAACAGTCCATAAAAGGCAGCTAAAATAGAAATGTTCAAAGGCACTTTTCTCCACAGAAAAACCAGGCATTTCTATATTAGGTCTTCTTGCTGTATAGAGATTGGTAATGAAACTCCTTAAACCTAAGTGACAGGTGTTTCTATCTTTCACACTTCCTTTTGGTCTCAAGGAATATATAAAGTTAACACCTGACTCTCCCCATCTGTGCTTTCCACCTCTCTAACTCATCCAGACATTAGTACACACAGATTAGGAGCCAGGAACAGTCTACTACTTATCCAAATCCTACTTACTCAGTTTCTACCCTCACCTCCATGTTTTCCACTTCTATTCTAAATGAGCTTCTAACTCTACTTTCAACCCCAATGTCCTAATACCCACACACCAAAGAAATCTTCCTTAAGTAGCCTGTTCCACACTGGTCCATTTCATAGAATCCCCATAGTCACTGACTACTGCTTGTATCCACAATCAAACCCCTTGACAATACAATATGTAGGTGCTGACACTTTGTGGTATTTGTCTCCACACCTACTAGGGTAAGACCTTACTGTTTGTTTGAAATCGTCTTCACAGAACCTGGGTAATGAGCAAGCACTGACCTGATTCTCTGAATTCATTTAAGTCTGCAGACAATCTGAAACCAACCAACATAAAAACTCAGATATTATCTTTAGACCTTTTTCATGTGAGTGCGGTATATGTCGCTAATAAGTACAATATAATAAAGTGATGTACATACACAATGTAGGTACTCAAATTTATCTATGAGATTAAAGAAAGAACTCTGGTTTGATTTGGAAAAAAAAAAATACTAAGTTTCAAAACAAGCAGAAAAAGCAAGTAATTTAATGGATGAAATTAAAAAAAAAAGTGCAAGAGTCTCATTTTCCATTTACTTGTTTTAAATCAATGCTTTCAGACTTAAGAGTTGCCTGACCAATCAAGGAAGTCGTAAGCTCAAGAACGAGTTTGAAATTTATATAACTGTCATCACTTAAAGCATAAGAAAGCTACCTTAAGTTCTAAAGAAGATGCTAAGGCAAGGTCCACCTCTTTGCTCTCATTTCCCTTCCTCTAAACCCATATATATCCAAACTAAACCTAGTTAAAAAATTAAGACACATGAAAAGCAGAATGTAAGACAATATAAGAATCACTGGGGCTGACAAAAAGTGCTAAAAGAATTCAGAAAACCAAAAGATCAACCGTAATTAAATTTATCCAAAAGAAGCCTTGTGAAAATGGTCTATTACCAGTCAGATCCTGACAAAGGGATAATACTTTGATTGGGAAGGTAGTAAAGGGCATGCTAGCAGGGGTAAGAATAAGCTCCAGGCTCCTATAAGAGGAAAGTCAAGGTGGCTTATAATTCAGGGCTATATTACAGACTCTTGAAAGCCAGGCTAAAGACCTTTAAATTCTATAAATAACTGGGCGAACTACCAGTACAGTGTGGTGGGGGACATAATACAATTCAATCAACATTTTAAGATTAGCCTTGGCATCAATATGCAATGTAGAAATTGG